GGTCAAAGTTCATGTCTGCAAACACCGTTGCCATCAGCTTCTGAAAGGTAGCCGGAGCGTTCATCAGACCGAAAGGCATTCTTGTGAACTCGAAAAGGCCCATGGGAGATGTGAAAGCCGTCTTAGGGATGTCTTTCTCGGTAACCTTAACCTGGAGATAGCCAGACGTTAAGTCAAGACAAGAAAAATACTTGGCCTGACCCAGAGCATCTAGAGCCTCGTCAATCCTGGGAAGAGGGTAGGCGTCCCGAACGGTGCGAGAGTTAAGTTTGCGATAGTCCACACAAAGTCTGATTTTACCATCCTTCTTGCGTACCACAACAATTGGCGATGCAAATGGGCTTTGACTGGGCTGAATCACTCCGGACCTCTTAAGCTCCTCTATGTGGCTCTTGACCTCATGGAATTCAGCTGGAGGGATGCGTCGATATGGCTGCCTGAAGGGGGTCGGGTCTATGAGGGGAATCTCGTGTTGCACTGTGTGGGTGAACCCCAAGTCATTTTGGTCCTTAGAAAACACGTCCTCGTTCTCCTGTAGAAGCTTAGTCATAACCTGGACGAATGTGTTTCCAATGGCCAAGGAACCTCTGCCAGGGGCCTTGTGAGCATCTTCCACGAGTGCCTGGAATGTCCTTCCCCGGGTAAATCTGGGTGCCTCAGCAGGAATATCTGCCTCTGCACCAGCTTTCACTAGTAACGGCTTGCGGCCCTTATACCTCAGACTTCCAAACTCACCATTCCTTTTCATAAGGTTCCCACCATCAGCATTTATGTACTGGAGGGCAGAGTACCAGACTTCTGATGTTTGCTGCACCTTCTTTAGAAATCCTTTCCCATGTCGATCATGTACGGCATCCCGGCAGTCCTGGAGAACATTAGTCCCCAACAGCCCTGGAATCTTTCGGCGGAACTCTGTTGCTGGAACAACAGACACCGGAACCCGTTGTACTTGGCGTGCGAGGACGTTCAGGTCGACAAGGATGACCCCGCTGTACGGCACCTGTTGGCCTCCAGCACCCTGAATACTTACACTTGTCTGCCGCTGCTTCTGGGCTCGAAGAAGAGGATGGCTGGGTACAAACTCATCAGTGATGGTACTCACTTGTGACCCAATGTCTAGCAGGACAGTGCACTTCCTACCAGAAACAGTGACTTCACTGACTGGCCCTATCAGACTCTCCTCTGGCTTGTCAACCTGGACGTTGTCTCCGACGGGGTTTCCTTTCTCTACAGGGCTCTTGATTCTACTAGACAAACCCACTGATCGCCCATCATCAGAGGGTTCTTCTAGTTTAACGGAGGTTGTTGGGATGAGGTGGAGGTTGGCCAACTGTTCTGCTGTAGCTGGTACATTGGCTCAGGACATCTCCTGGCAAAGTGTCCTAGCCGACCGCAGTTGTAGCATGTTTTTGTTGCCCCGTCAGACTTCACTGGTGGATGACTGCTTTAATACATACTACACTGCCGTCCTGGATCCATCTGAGCATTATTCTCCAACCACCCTACACGTCCAAGTTCAATCTGGTTTGCAAGGACTTGGTTGAGCATGGTTTTCTGCTCCTCCATCAGCCTTGTCAAATCATCCACTCGGGGGTTGGTGTTTTGTTCCGTCGTTCCTGGTGATACTGCCTGCTTCTGCACTTCGATCTTGGGATCACTTGTTTTCGTCGGGACATGGACCATGAGATGATAGGAGTTCCTCATCATCTCCTCCTGGTGATGTTTCTCTTCAGTGATAACCCTCAACTCAGCACAGATGTCTTTGAATTTCATGGTCCTGGGTATCATAAGTGCTAATCTCTGTCTGTAGAGGTTATCATGCAGTCCCATCATGAATTGGGTAGCAAGAATGAGGTTACAGCTCTCTCCGAACAAGTCATACTGACTGTGTCGTCTTCCCACCTCCTCAATCCGTCGCAATAACGCCTTGAGAGCGATGACGTAGTCACTTGCTGTCTCCCCTGGTCTCTGTACTCTGCTGTAAAACCTCGCCATGGGTGATGAAGCTGAGTTGTCTTCGTAAAACTCCTCCAACATTTCAACAAAAGCCTCCTCCGCTGTAACTCCTGAGGGCACTCTGCTCTCAAGATTGAGAGCGCTCTTCCCCCGGTGTTGCGGACCACCTCGTGGAACTGTACTGCATCCGGTGCCTTCCCCTTTGCCTCCAGTAGGTACCTCATATCTCGTACCCATTCTTCAATGCGGATGCCTTTCTCTTTGCCAGTGAAGGCCTGCACCCCTTTCACTTGATGCGCAGTGACTGTCCTCTGTGTATCGTATACTGGCGTAGATGCTGGCCTCGTGATGGGATCAAAACCGCACATCTCAAACGGGGTGAGCTGGTGTGGGAAAGTTGCAGTTCGGAGGTCTGGGTGACGATGAGTGACAGGTATATCAATCATCATGTCAACTGGGTTAGACTTGATGGGGGTAGACGTCCCCATGTGGGATGGAGTTTCCATCATGAAGGTCACGGTAGGTGGACTTGGAGTTACGGCCATCATAAATTTCACTGTTCCTAGACTCAAGCACTGTGTTGGTTGACCCTGACCGATATTCTTGACCAGAAATAAGAACAAAGAAAACCAAGCCTCATGACCAGCAACCTATACCCCTACTCAAATAGATATCTATAGCTAAGTTCGTAATGAACAGTTTCCCCACCCGGATTCTCCACCAAAGTTAGAAAGAAAAAATGTAACGGGGAAAAATGGCACACTTCAGATAAGAATAAAAAAATAAAGAAGAGACTTGAAGAAAATAAACACTTGGGAAACTCGCTAAAAAAAAGTTTCAAAAGGATCAAAAGGGAGGAGTCGCAAGAAGTCTAAAAGAATAGGGATACGGAAGCTGAAACTTGATTCCAACAACGAAATCTTTTATTTCTTCTAAAAAATGTCCCCCCCCCCCAAAAGGAAAGTAACTGGAGAACTAAAAAAACAGGACTGGGTCGAAAATCAGATTTTAAAATATTCACCTAAAGACTTGAAAATCTAGTCAAGAGAATTGCAGAAACCAAACCTAAAATGTAGGAAAAATATGACCAAGACCAAAATTAATTTCAGAAATCCTAGACCAAAGTAAACCCACCACAGAATCAAGGTAAGGCTTAACCAATCTAAAACAAGACCAACCCAAACTAAAAGAAAAAACCAAGAACCAACAAAACCAACACAGCACCTAAGAAAAGTTACAGATCAATTCAACTCAAGCGTTAACTACCAAGTCCACCGCAGGTCTGAGCTTTCAGGGCAGAACTTGACTGGTATTTAATAGGTGTGTTACTTCACCGACTGCCAACCTGCTTACTGAGACTTGGGCTCAGAGCATGCCCACGGTGCCTGTCCAGTTGCATGAGTCATCATCAAGTAAACAGTTATGAGGGGCACCATGCAACTTTAGGATGGGTAGACTAGGGGGTGCTACTCCTTTACAGTGCGTGGACATTTGCATTGAGTACAAAGAAAAAACTAAGTTAAATCTGCCCCTGCTACACAGGCACTCTCACGAAACTTATTATTTTCCCCAGTTTGCGCATAGTAGACCAGGAGGTTTTTTTTTTCTCCTCCAGGTCTATGGTTAGTCTTGGCCCAAGACGTCAGTGATCTGATGTTATTTTATTTCTGTTGAAGAACGCCCTCGCACAACTAGTTTTTATACTTACTTTCACTAACGCCAGCTCGCACTTGTTGGTGCGAGCTGGCGCACGTCTAATTATGAGTCGTTGGGCCGGGGGCGCACTATGCACGGTGTCCGCTGTCAAGCAATAACGTCTTGAAACCAAGACTAGTCTAAAGTAAGCCCGAGATTTTTTCGATTCTCGCGCGTACTTAGACATCTAAAAATAACCTTACAAATGTCACGTGACTGTCAACGTGATCTATACCATCCCGCTTTGTTGACGTTCACTCAATTCAGCACCAGTGAACCATGTCTGTTTTTATCAGAATTGGGTATTTTCTCAATCAGATTTCCCCATGCACGTCAAGTAACAATATTCCCGTCAATCTCGTCTGTCGGGCCTTTCGTTCAAGTTTTCCTCAAAACACTGCAGACGGAAAGCAAAATTTAGGGACTAACACGACTGCTCGACCTCCTCCACAGGTGGAACTTCCGGATTACAACACGAGTGTCAACGTGCACGAGCATCGACTGAAGAGACCTGAAAAGCCACCGCCCTTGAGAAAGAAATGGGTAGGGCTGGACGAACTAAAGCAGCGAACAAAGGCAAGAGATGTGGGCCGTATTTATTGAGAGATAAGTTGTCCGCCCTGTGGCATCCCCAGTTAAAACTCCGTGGGAGTACTGAGCATTAGTTAATACCATGATTACCTATTAAGTTACCAAGAAGCAATTGGAAATTAAGCAAATCCTGTAGTTGGGCCAGCCCAAATCAACTATGCAGCTCTTGGGACTATCTTTACAACGTAGGGTAAAGGTGGGGTATTAGACCACATAGGAAAAGCAAGACATTCGGCCAGCTGTATAGTTTTGTATGCTGTTGGTTGAATTTTCCTCTTGGTCAAGAATTCCTGCTCTAACCCCTATTTTAGTTTGAGTAACTCCAGTCATAGCAACTCGGACCCTATGAACTGCCTTTTTAAACATTTTGACGTGGCAGCCAGACCACGTCCAAATATTACCATGTCCAAATGTTTACAAAGGTCATTTGTAGAGTTGGACCTAGTACTAGGACCAATGTTGTCGTCAGCGAATAGCAAAGAAAAATGGACAAGTATAGTCTGGATTCAATTTTCCAATAACATGAATTACATTGATGATGAGGATAATATGCTGACTATTCACTGACAGCTGTTGACACTTGGTTTCCATTGTCAAGATTTTTTTTTCTTGTCACTCAACACTATGACTTACCAGGGATCGCTCATTCCGGAGACACTCAAAGAAATGGAGCAGAATGAGGACTTCCAAATCACGGCAGCCAACCTGCGCAAAATGGGACAAGCAAAACTCACTAGGGAGGAGCGCAAGAAGCGACAGAGGGCGCTAGACAACCTGGGTGTTCCCAACTTCCGAGAGTTCATTACAAAGTGGAGCAAGCAGCCAGGCCACGGTGAGCTATATTGGAACCCTCGGACAATGTTTCACCTCGTGCCGTTTTGAGCAATTCTTAAAAATACTACTCTTGGTACAAGGCAGTACAGTTTGTAGTGAATTGTGACCCATGGCAAAAGACAGTGCTACCACTCCTGAAGCACTGTCACACACAGACAATTCTTGTTTTACCGGTATATCTTGTCATAAAACAACTTTATTTTCAATTTTAACAAATGCTGGAAGCACAGTAAGCTCGTAGGCCTTAAAGACTACATGCACAAAGACAAGCCATGCAAAAAAATTGTAAGGCCCCCCCCAAAGTCATTCGTCTCTGGTCAACCCACACGTTGATTTCAAGCATGGGCGTCAATTTTTTTTTCTCTGTAAGAGCTGCAACAGCGCCCCCATTGCTGCACTGCCTCAGCATTTCTGCAGGCTGCTCGATCTTTTACTCAGGGCGATAGATGATAGATTAATGTTGAACAATGGACAGCAGACGGGATACAAAGTTGTTTGTTGTCAGCTTATACGTGTAATCATAATAAAGCTGGTCTAGTCCCATGACTCAACAACGTGTGTTTGCATTTGTCTGTACAATCTAACCCTGGAAGAGGGGGAAAAAAAAGCTGCATCACCGCATCAATTCCAGAACATCAGTCTTACCAGAGACAAACTATTTAGGGGTGGGTCTAAATGGCCAAAAAAATAAAAATGCCGTCATGCATTATAGGGTTTTCATATTGCTGATAGAGAAATGTGCTAACCCCTGGCGTTTGAAATTTCCCCTGCAATACAGAACAGCTAATGAAGCAACTTAAGAAGGTGGAGATTGGAGTCCTGCAGCTGAACATTGGGCTGTACTGCAACCAGGCCTGCAATCACTGTCACGTCGAGTCCTCCCCAAAGAGGACGGAGACGATGACCAGGCAGACGGCAGAAAGGTGCCTGGAGATTTTGAAGAACAGTCCCACGGTTCACACCCTGGATCTTACAGGTAAGGGAACAACGGGGATAACAGAATGGAAGGAATTAGACGAACTGTCTTGGAGAGGGGCTGATCTGAGAAACTTAAAAGTCTTCGAGAATAGTCTGTTTCTTTTAAACAGACTATTCTGTTTTATAATTTTAAAATATTTTTAAAACAGATAGTCAATCTTCTTTACAGCCAGCCTACTTGTAACTATAATTTTTATGGTTATTAGGGTTTTTATGGCTATCATTATGGTTTTGATTACAGTTTTGCTTAAATCATATGGCTGATTTTTTGTGTATATGCTAATATTCAGGTGAAATTTAAATAACAAAGAGAAGTGAGTTCTCTGTCTTGAGACAAGGTGATAATTTTTTTGCCAAAAATGTCCTTTCAATGTATATCATTCACCTGGGAAGGTCCATTTTTGTATTTGTCCCACTTTGATGCTGGCACTTTGGTCCCTTCTCTTGCACCTTTTAAAGGAAGCTTTTATTTTCCCAATTTGATAGTTTGATTAATTGAATAGAATGACACCAAACGATACTGTTGGAGGAACACAGGAATCACTGTGAATTTGAGAGAAAAGGGACAAATGTCTGGATTGGAGTCATTTGAAGATTTGTGGGAAGACTGCACGTATAAGAATTGAAGGGACGCACTGAGCACAAATTGGACATTTCAGAAATTCCTGCTTATTACAGGTGGAGCACCGGAACTTGCCGGGGAGTTCAAGTTCCTAGCTCGGGGAGGTCGTGACCTTGGACGAGAGGTCATCGACCGCTGCAACCTCACAGCACTGCTGGAGCCCGGGCAGGAGGACACTGCAGAGTTCCTGGCCAAGAATAAGATCACTGTCATAGCCTCCTTGCCCTGCTACAGGTAGTTTTTCAACTGGGTTTTCAATTCCAATTTGGGTCAGTTACCACCACTTACACACCAGGGATTTTAGATGGAGCTTCTGTCTCCAAACCTTGCTCCATCTCTCTTTTTCATCATAACTTGGGTGGGATAGTGCATATGTACTAGACTCAAGCCCTCTTTGAAACCAATCCAGTTTTGAACTCAGCAGTGAAATTTGTATTTTGCACTAGCACTGCAGAAGAAATCTCTTCTAAGTAGAAGATAGGTCCCAAGTAGCAGATATCTTCCAAATAGTACGGCAGTGGATTTATACCGAATTCTGGATATTCCAAATAAAAATATAATAATTTCAAGTAAAGTATATTTTTATAGTTGCAGATATATTTCAAATAAACGGATATAGGCCGAATAGGGGATGTATGTCAAGCAGTAACTAGATTCTTAGTAGTGGACATTATTCCAAATGCAAGATATGTTTCAAGGACCATGTATCTTTAGATTGAGTCATGGACATTTATCCCAAGCTATTTTAATGCTACAGCAGTGCATGTTGCTAGTTTTGTCGTTTTTTTTCTACTTATAGTGCCAAAAACGTGAACACCCAGCGAGGCAGCGGCGTGTTTGACAAGAGCATCCAGGCCTTGCTGCTGTTGAATCAATTGGGCTATGGGAAGCCAGACAGAGGGCTACGACTGGATTTGGTTTATAATCCCCTGGGTAGGGACAGATATAGATGAATCCAGTGATATATCACTGGACCTTCCCAGTGGCCCCCTCATAATGGCAGATAACATTGTGTTGGGTTTTGTATTTGGGGCAAGGCCACTTGGCTTTTTAAACCCTTCCCTTGTAGCTTGTATTTGACTCTCTACAATAGTTGTTACAATGCTTCCCCGCCATTGACGGGGACCACTGCCAGTGGCCTGTGATAGTGTTACCATGGTCACCAGGTCTGTTTAGAGGCAGACAGCAAAGGGACATCTGCATACTGCCAGAATTCTGATAATTGATTTGGCTGAACCCTTGTGGCATTGCATTCTTACATGTATGCTCATTTCCTCAGGTGGCTTTCTGCCTCCGTCCCAATCAGAGCTGGAGGCAAAGTACAAGGAGGAATTGTGGGACACCTTTGGAATTGAGTTCAATAGCTTGTACACTATCACCAACATGCCCATCAAGAGGTTTGCTGACTTCTTGTACCGACGGTGAGTTGATATCTCCCAAAATGGACACCATTCTGGTCAAAGAAGCAAGGATGCATTGTCCTGTGCTGAAACATACATTGATTTGCATTCCAACTCCCATTTAGTTACAGCACATTAGAGTTCACTGTGAAATCTGCTGTCCTTAACGGGCCCTTTAACTCATTTGTGAATCGTCCAATCAGAAACGAGCTTGAGGATTACATGCAGTTGCTGGTCAGGAACTTTAACCCTGCGTCAGTGGAGGGCCTCATGTGCCGCAATCACCTCAATGTGAACTGGGATGGGCGGCTCTTCGACTGCGACTTCAACCAGCAACTGGACATGGGCATGCGTAGGGTGAACAGCAAAATGGGTATGTTTTGCTGGGACAAGAAGGGACAAAGTGGGCAAACTGAACATTCTTGAGCAAAGCGGCTTTCTTGTGAAGCTCATGTTTGCTTTTCAACCTCCCTGCTTTTTGAAGTTTTTGAACGAGAGCAAGTATGATCGCAGGCCAGTGGTTGAGATGCCATTAGTTTATGACGTACCTTTCAGCAGGGGTAGATCCAGGAATTTTTCCGGGGGAGGTTCAGCCTGGAAATTTTTAATGTCTGAATATTTCTCTTTTAGGTTAGGTGATTTTTCAGTTTCTATAAATTGATATACTAGCAAATATTTTCCCAAGCTCGTTTTCTGAGTTGGATTTTTTAAGAAGTAACTGAACAAAAAAATATTACAGCTTCTAAAATCTTTGCACGTTATTTTTCCTATCTAAGAATTCCAGAAGCACGCGATCAGGGGTCAACTCTCAGGCTGTATAGAGGCTAGTCTCAAAAGTTGACCAGACTAGTCTAATCGTTGTCCAGATTCTGTCTTGGTTTGTCAACCTGTAGTTAGCAGCAATGCTTGATCAAACTAAGTTGACTACTTTGAGTTTATGTCTTATGCTGCCCATATGTATGTACACCTACTTCTAAAATTGGGTTTTCCTTCTTTCTGCCCTATACTCAATTCCACGGCATTTCTCTCTCATCAAAACCATTGTCCTTCATGTCTCAGCTGAAAAGTCTGTTACTCTCTGTCGTGGACATTGCAAGGGGGCTTGTCCCTCCCCCCATCCCCCTCAGAAAAAAAAATGAAAAATAAAAAAAATGCAAGAAAAAGCATAAGAAAGGTAGGGACAGGAGGGATAAAAATCACCAGTTTGCTTGGGAAAAAATTTGAATGCCCCCTTCCCTAGTCAATCATTTTTCAGTTTGCTGCTGATAAGTGATTTGCACACCTCGAACCTTCCTTGAGAAAGTGGTTTGCTCCCTACCTGTGGAAGAAATCCTGCCAACACCCGTGTTGTTTATCACTGTTTATTCCATTTTCAGAGGCTGCCCACGATATGTCTGAGCGTTCCTCATCGGCCCCCTCAGTCTGGGATATTGAGTCAACGGACGACCTCGTCGGTCTGCGCATTGTCACGGACAACCACTGCTTTGGCTGTACATCGGGTATGGGCTCCAGTTGCCAGGGGACCACTGCTTGATCAACTTGTGCACTACCTACCGAGGGCGCCATTGCATCATTCAGTGAAACAGTTCCCTCATGGTGGGGTTAAGAGTTTTATGATATCATACTCTCTGTGCACAACCGAACAGATGAGAAAGCCTTTGACTGCGAGCATACTTAATCTAAATGTGCAAGACCATTTGAGGGCACTGTTTCAGTCAGCTGGTGGATTGATTTTTTTCTCATTTTCAGAGTTACGGGCCATGTTGGGTATCCTTATTAGTGATTAAAAATTGTTGTTTTTCTGATAATTATTAAATGTCAGGTTTGTTTTTTTTTACTCATGTACATGTATATGTATATTTGCACCTAAACATGTATATTTTTTATCTCACAAGTGGATGTGGGGAGACAAGTCTTTTGACCACAGTGATTTTATTACTTATGTCTTTCCTATGCCCATCCCTTTGTGATGTTCATTGTTGGCATGAATAAAATAATAATAATAAAAATAATAATGTGACAGTAACTCTGCTCACTGTAGCTGTGGGCGTGGACTTTGGTAGCAAATATATCAGTTCAATGCACTGTGCCTGTTGATGATGAGTAACGTTTGAGTCCAAGCATTCATGGAATAAGCAGAAATCCTTACTTAGCCGATTTTCTGCACCATTTGATGAGGTTGGCTCTTAAGTCCAGGTACATGTACTAATGCAAATGTTTCTCATTTCAACAAGTATAGATAGCCAGTTTCCATGGAGCTGTATGTGAAAGACAGGGTTTTGATGGTACGCACAGGGACATTCGTTAAAGTGCCAGTTAAGTTTATCAGAAATTATATTTAAAAAAGTATTCCATAGAAAATCATGAAAGAGGTATGTACTCATCAGAATTTCCTGTTGTCAGCATTCCTTTCCGATTGATTTCTGTTTATATGTCAGTTTATATCACGTCATCGTTCAGTTAAGAGGTATTCAGACATGCTCTAAAAGTTAAAAATAACGATTTGATAAACACATTTTAAACAGGATATTTACATACTAGATTATTGATCATATGCTTAATCTCAAATCTACATGAACCAAAATTACAAATCAAAAAAGCAAAGAAATGTATGCAAGCATTTAGTTACTGGTAGAGTTCAATTTTCTTGCCAATTTTTTTTTTAATTTTTGCCATCATTGATATGAATGAATACACATTTTTCATTGAAATATCTGAATTCAAAATGTAGAATTTCCTTTAAGCAGCATTTGTTTCGCTCATTTTGTATGTGTTTATAATTTATAATGTGTGATTTCTTTGATATGTATTTACAAGTTAAGTGATGGGTTCTTTTGAGTTTATATACAACTACGACACTTTGTTTCATTTTTAGTTATAATTTTCTGAATTTTTGATTGATCGTGTGCTGGTCGTTTTATATTAATTTTATTTACTATTTTTACAAACAGGCTCTCCTGGAGAAAGAGCAACATTAATGTAATTATTATTGTTATTCTTATTATATACATGTATCTGTTTATATTGCATTTTCTATATTTCCAAATAGGTCACTTGGGAGACATTTTGTGGTAAATTTTTCAACATTAGGGAGACATTGGTCATTAGGGAGACATTTCAATGTCTCCGTAATGCTCCAACTACCAAAAGGAGGAAAAATTTTTCTGTCCACATTTTGAAAGATGATAGATTAGGGTCTGAAAGGAAAACATGCAAAGTTTGGTTAAGATCGGATTAGGGAATATTGAATTATGGGACGGTAAAGTGTGAAAAATTTTGTGCACGTTCCAATGGGAATGTCTCCCAAGTGACCCATTTTCGGTAAATCGTATTTCAATAAGTGTTATTCCATTTTTTTAAGCTTAAATATCCCTTTTTTCAAAAATAAACTTCAAGTAGGATATTCATGTACTATTAGTGATCATTCGCTAAATCTGCATGAAATAAAACTTAAAATCTTGTAAAGAAGATATACTAGTATTACGCGGGTGCGTACTTCATGTGGAATTCACTTCTCTTGCCAGTTTTATCTGAATACGTGCTTATTTGCATTTCAGTATCTGTATTTGATGTATTGATTTGTGAACAACTGGTTGAACATCTTAATATTTAAAAACCTTGAAACAAAATCGATTATTTTGCTGATAGAATGTTGCTGAGCCATTACCCTCAAATTAAAGAAGCTTTATGTTTTTCAATATGCAACGGCATGTTAGCACTTTGGACAAAGAGCTCATGATTCACATCATCGTAGTCATGTTCAATTGAGATAGAGTTCACTCTTTGTTGCTATAACCGGGGCTCAGGAAAGTCACAGCATTTTCAATGTACAACCTCCGAGTCTCCGTTGGAAGTTTTGTGGATTTTGGTGCAGTCTTGTCCCTGTTGAACTTTAGTTTGCTGACGAAGATATGATTCAAGATAAAGTGTTTCTTTTGATATTTTTTAAAATGGAGCTTAAAAACGCACTCTCATCGTGCTGGTTTGGTCTCATTTTCCAATGCACTCGTAGGAACCATAGGCACTAACCTCTTAAAAGGACTCGGAAACAAGCGTAAATGGTCAAAAATATAAACCTTTTTTGCTGTTCTGTTTGAATCTCGCTTGTTTACGCCAAACATTATTTTCTTCCTGCGTGGCCGTTCACAGATGTTATTGGTTAAAAGGTCCCTCGGTGTCACAAAAGGTCATTACACTGAAAAGTGGGGAGGTGTCAATAAGTGGAGGGACGTTTTTAGTACTAACCATTTGCCAGATTGGGGAGAAATTACAACCTCGGTAGTGAGGTCATGGTAACTAATTTAAATTAGGAACATCCTGGGTTTATTGTGGTGTAACCATTTAGGAATAAAAATATCACGTGGTTACGTTTCACCACAACTTGTTGATTCCTGCGCTCTCTGTGCTGTTTGATTCCCCCGGAGAAAGAATGGTAGAGTCGCAATCGGACACGCGGAAAAACATGTTGGGATATCTCGTCCAGATTATGGAAAGTGAAAAATATGCACTTCCCGTATCCCCTGATACCACCGCGCGGGCCGGCTCATAAACAGGAAATGCGTAGACAATAATTTGCCCTGCATGTGTTGTGTGGGATATTCCCTGAAAGAAAAAGTACGATGCATCCATGCCTCTTAATCTTATGCTGAGGATTTGTTAGTTTCTGCGTGGTTTCTGGTGTGAAGTGTTTTCCTTGCAATTCCTGGTTTGCTGTGGAAGCTGCAGGCCTAAGTGGAAGTGTCCAGGCTCTGTAAGTGCATGTATGTTTAATGAACTAGTCGTATGATTAAACAACCTGTCGGAAAATGGTGCCTCGTAGTGCTTGCATCGTTGGCTGTTTTCGCTCAAACTTCCCTATACATGTCTTGCCTTTCTACATGGCGAACATTTATTTGCTGTTGGCCAATGTTGTATCCAAAAAAGTCACGTGTACTTCTCTGATTGGTATGGTGATAGTCGCCGCAAAACAGTAATGGTGGTTCAAGCTCTCGCAATGGGTACAGACCAGTAAATAAGATGCCATAGACAACAGTGATAAATATCCCTACTTAAAAAATCAGGAAAAATACTCACTAGTTTCACAGGTGTTCAAGACACAGATCAAATTAAAGCTCCCTTCCTCATCTTTCATTTTCCTTCCAATTTTCAGCGGCTTAATCGATGACTTATGAAGACATTGCTCTCTAGAGAAAATCACCCCTCAAAACAGTCATGAGGCCCATCGCCATTTTGAAAATTAATGCCTACACTCCATTCAAATCTAGAGCGATTTAGAGGGCCCTGTTTGGTCAGAAATAAAAGCTGGCAGTGCTGCTGGTAGATTCCACCCTCCTTAACAAACCACCCAGTCCACGTACCACAAAATGCTCCAATAGCAGAGAATTTGACAGCCTACAAATCGTCCGCAGTTTTGGACCTATTTACGGGCCTGCAACCGGACCCCATACCCTGGGACTCGTAGAACCATGCACGAATCAGAACATAGTAGGACCATGAAGGAATGGTAGAACTATAGTATGGGCCACGAGTATCCCTGGGGCTCTTGCACTAATGGTAATTTGATATGATGTCAAGGCTTTATGGCCAATAAAATGTAATTTTTTGTATTTACTTCTGACACTTAGTGTTTGATCACTGACCATTGACTGTGTTGGACCACGACATTGTTTGACACTCCCCGCCCCGCCTCTCGCCTCACCCGACCACGTGTGCTCTATAAAGCGTTACCTAGCTGCACCTTGACCTCGGTTCCCTGTCCGATCACAGAGCGAGGAAACCGTTTCCTCACCCTGTGGACCGGATAAGTCTTTCTGATAATTTGCGAATTTTTCGATGTGGGTGAAATTTCAATGGGCGCAGTGCTGATACGTCAGTTTCAGCTTTGATCACTGTCAGTCCATCGACATCTGTCAATTATACCCATGTCTCTCCCGATGCTGTAGGCAATGTCTAGAAACAACATTAGGATATCACAACAATAAATTATTGTACGGCCCTTTACATCGTGTTATGTGGCGTGAAATGAGGCTACATTTCCCGAACCCAGTCACCTTTTCCGTCGGACCAGTTGGGCAAAAAGTTGCACCTGTCGTGCAATTATTGCGTCTCCTTCAGGAGACCCAGTGAGAAACGCAAAGAACTACACAGTCTGATTGGAGTGTTTTTTACGTGAACATCATTAAAACGATTCTCCGCCCGTTTCCTGTGGTTGTTGCTTGTTGCTTGTTGATCTGAATTGAAGGTCACTCATGACAATGAAAAAAGAAAGAAATTAATGTGTTTCAGTTTCTGAGGAATATTGTTACCAATCGCTGTCAAAATTAGCTAATCGCTGATACCCCTCTATTCATTATAGCTCCAAGGATCGACCGCATAAACGGAAATAAAATCCAACATGTTTGCAGAGCTCATGTATATGCCTTTCTTTGTGAAATGCTCATCAGTTGGCCCAGATAAGTACTGCATGGCATTCGTATACAGTCAATCACATTTTGAACTCCATGGTCAGCGGCTACCAGCTTTTTTTGGGGGGGGGGAGTTCGTTTTTATGGAGATTTAATTGCACTGTTTAATGCTGAAAGTGATTGCCTGATTTCGATGCCTCTGTATTTGGTGATTTTGAATACGATGTTCAACTGATTGATTGTGTGATCTCCTTTCGTGTTTCCCCCCTCTGTGCAGACCCACTCTTGACAGATCTTGCGTCTTGAACGAAGTCGGTTATTTCTGGAAGCTGACTGTAAAGTTCCATGACCTGAAGAGGGCTTTTTTTGTAAAGAAAAGTCCTTTTTGGAACTTTATATTGTGAATTCACCAATCTATTCAATATTTGGTGAAGGAATTTATTTTGCCGAGCCATATACACGTAGATTTCATGAAGCTGTCATAAACATTCGACGATTCCAAAATGTGAGAAACTCTATGTTTTGCTGCTGCGGCCGTGACCTTCCGATAACCACACACCAACGATTCTGAAGACCTCGGTGCAGGCAGTTCGGAGACAGCACCCACACTTTGGTCACGACTTCCGGCACCCAGAATGGACGCCAGCATGGGAGATCTACGCGCGCACGCTGCTGTGGTAACCAGGGTGACGTCAAAGGATCACGAGGGAGGGCAACAGGTGGACCCCAATGGGTAATGATATTTTGTGTGTTCTGATCGTTTGAAATGCAGGTGCACAGTACAGGATCTGTTCTCCAAATGAGGAGATAACCTGTGTTTTTACTTTTCCACGAGGGATTCATAAGGGTTTTAAATTAAACTCCGTGAAGTTTACGATGCTGATTTACAACTATCAACAACATTATCGAATACTCTTTTCGTTCCTCCGTGATTCAATCAGAAAAACAGAAGAAAATATTGAACACGTTCAAGGTGCTTAAGGGCCAATCAACGTTATACATTGCTCCCAAGAAATAACCGTTACTCTCCACAAGATACCGGGTATATAAACTCAAAAGGCTATAGATTGCTCTCTCTCCATAAAACGAATCGGGTACAACTGAAAATTAATGTCTGGCTACTTTGTTTGTAAAGTTTCTCCTTTCCTGACGGCTAGGGTGTGTGGAAATCCCTACGAAACTTGGTATTGGTGAGGACTCCTAGAATTTATACGTGATTTTTGGTCTGCTAATAATTTAGTTACCGATCCGACCAAGTAATATTGTTCGGCGTCATCATTCATGTGCATACCTGTACACTTTTTATAACATGCATGGTCACCACACCATACCTGTCCTTGCTAGACATGTGCGTTATTATTACAGATTACGAAAACAGTCATTGATTTTACCAAGTGGTGCCAGCGACCTTGAGAGAGTGCTTGACGTGCCTAACGTGCACCCGCCGAATCCGCCCGACACATGGCTGCCTCTTCTCATTCATCACCCGCGATCCCAGGACACGATTTCCCTTGAACCCCCAAACTACATTTAAAAAAATGTGGTGTACACATTTTTTTTCACTCCATGTATTCACGGCAACGCGACTATGGGGACATCGTGAAAAATGGAGAGAAAATTTGGTTTGGCATGCACTGGCACGTCGTTCAGCTAGCAGGGCCTCAGGGAAAACGGCACACTTCGTACATGGTTGTGGTTTGAGACTCAAAACTGTCTTGGACCCGGTAATGTAACATGCCAAACTGAAGTGGAATAAACCATAGAAGACACTCGTTTGGATGAGTAAACTTACCAGCGGCCTGTTTATCGAGGCTTATCAACAGACACCGTGTTTCCAAAAGAGTAGAAAGTCCACACGGGTTTTTTTTTGCCTCCTTTTCCCGAAGCAGGAAGGAGTTTCTTTTGTTGTAACTATTTTCGCTACGTGCATCGCATGTTCAGAACATGATAGTATCTAGTGTAATAGATAAGAACATGTGCGCCTCGCTGATACAGTTTGGAAACTCGCAGGGCCGTTCCGAGGACAAACAGAAATTATGGGACGTTTCTCCTCGGTGTCTTTCTGAGATGAATAAGTCGGTCTCCATGAGATTTTTTTTCAACGGAACTCTCTGAGAACTGTTGGTGTTGCGAGTTGGGAAGCATACGCGCGAAAATCCTAGCAGAACTGCTTCTTTTTAAGTTGCAATGCAAGTTTGTCTCTCATTCGTAATTTGTGTGATTGCACGGCACTGTGCCTCTAGGATTTGATCCTATCCTAGGACGGTGCCTCCAAGGACATCATTGATATAAAAACTTGCGCAAAAACTGAAAGTGATTTTGGGAAAAATTGCGGTTATTGGGAAGAGATAATTTTATAATAGTATTGGCAAAGTTTCTGTATGGCTTAATTGCCTTGCAACCCCGATGGACGTGTGTCAAAATTACCGGATTTAAGTCGCCATTATAGTGACATGAGTTTTCCATGTGACCATAACACGGCTTGTGGAACCATATAGGGTGGAACGAACTGTCTCGTGAAACTGACAACGCGAATCCTATCATTTAAAGACAACCTGTAAATCTTGTCATTTTGACAGACCTGTTTTTCCGCGCAATTTACGCCGCGTTTCCCGCATTTCCGACGGTCCCTTCGGGCACCCTGTGCCCCTCACCACCGCAGAATGGCAGTTTCGACGTAAGATAATGACATGGCCCAATATCTGCTCTCCTCCACCAGGGAAACAGTGGACGAAGTCCTGAACGTCCACCCATCCTTCCTGGAGTGCTCGGGATGCAGCGAGTCCATACGGGACCGCTACTTCCTGCGCGCCATGGACAAGTACTGGCACGAGGACTGCCTGGCCTGCGACCTGTGCCAGTGCCGGCTCGGCGAGGTCGATTGCTACATGTACACCAAGATGGGCCGCAAACTCTGCAAGAGAGACTACCTCAGGTGAGATTTCAAGTGACGGTCTTGAGAATGAGATAAAATGAAAAGAGGACACTGTCATTTGAGAAAAAAAGCAAGCGACGTCGCGCCGTTTCATTTCATGCGGGTCATATCGTCAGCAGACGGCCGATTAACTGATAGGATTGACTTGGCGCTTGCTTATTGATGTTCTCGAATGACCTGTGACGTACTTCATTTCATGGAGGCACTATTGGAGAATTTGTGGGTAATTCCAGTAATTAGTGGTCCAAAAGTGTGTCATTTTTGTGTCGCTGTTACATCTGACCTTTGTTATTTGACATGGAAATATCACCGGAATTGATTTCAGACTACATGCATTACTTTTTGTGTGGCAGGTACTTTGCATTAATTCATCACTCTTAGAAATTAGAAAATGTGTTCTGAACATACAAAATCATATGTCAGATGTGACAGGGACAGGAAAAAATGGACCCCTTATTTCTGGTGTTACCCCGTGCACCAAACTGGCTTATTCTTAATCTTGTCAAGCTATTTCAGCTTCAATAACCCGAACTTCGTTCATGTCGAAAAACATTGCTGAGCTCTTTTTGTTTCATTGTAGAATGCGATACAAAGTTAACACGTTTGTGTCTGTGATATAAGCACTGTCGATATTACATTTTAGACTGTACATTTATTTATTGACATTCTTCGGAAATTAATGTTATAACCCCACACGTTTAAAACAATGACCACAACTTCGTATCTTTTTCAGATATTGGCCCTGCATTTTGTCCACATTTCCCTTACCATTAACGATAATTGCATGAAGCACTTTTGAGTTGTTATTAACTAACCCATCAACGCACATGAACACCAAGAATTGGTTAAATGGCGCTGATGAACTCCACAAAGGTTTTCTCCCTATCCCCTGCGAATATTTCTCTAAATATCGGTCTAATGGAACCACCTGCTGAAATGCAAGAATGTTGAGGAGAGTAAATCTAAGTAAATCCTTCTAACACCCTCCTTATGCGTTTAAAGCCAAACTGCTTCTAACATAAGGGTATGAAACCCACCCAAGGCGATGTCATTCAAAGAACAAAACAACATCATCACCCAGCCTGTACCTTACATTTGAAGCAAAATATGGGACGGAGAGAACCCCCCCCGCCTTTGTGTTGGTCATTGTTTGATCGGAATCTCAGGAATTCTTCAAAGAC